CGCGTGGCGCAGCCAGCCCCGCGCCTGCGCCCAGCGCGCGCGCGCCCACAGCGCGTTGGCCAGCTGCTCCAGCACGAGGCGCCGCCGCACGCCGTCCCACGGCGCACGCGCCACCGCCGCCTGCGCACGCGCACGCGCACGTATGCTGTCAGGACGGGAACTCCACCCCCAGAGCGCACACTACGGCCAGGGCAACCGTTGTCCTTTCATCGACCCCTTTTGAACGAATTGATCTCTTCACCGAACCCTTACGTTTCTCGACAATGTATACTGCATTCATAATCATGACAATGAATTGCTTGATAGATAAGAATTTCATATTCAACCAACATTATCGTAAATATTTCGATTTTGCATTAGGAAGCTATCTCGGAAGCAAGTGTGCGTGCATAATAGCATGCGCGGATTCAAGAGAGAAGGATGAGGGAATTTCCCACCCCCTAAAATTTTTCAGTAACTATTAATTTTAACTGGTCAGGAAACTTCATGCACACATGTTTTCGGATTATCATTAAAACGAATAAAATCGTATCTCAGCATGAGCGAGCTGAGTGTAGCCTGCGACGTTTTACAAAATCTCTAATTTACGTATTTGACGATATATTTTGAATTTTCCCATCCAAAATTCGTCTCTGGGTCCTCCCCTGATAATACATTTGGAGTGTATAATTTCAAGAGCTCGTGCAGTTAGTAGGTGCGGGGCTGCCCCGCGCGCAGAGCAGGCGCCGGGGGCGGCGCTCACCTGGAGGTCGATGGAGTCGACGGAGGCGCGCCGGGCCTCGGTGATGCGCGTGGCGGCGCGCTCCGCCTCCACCTGGCGCCACGCCTTGCGCCGCCACTGGAGGTCGCGGTCCTCCACGTCGTCGTCCTCCTCTTCCGAGTGGCTGCTCGGGATGTCGTCGACTCCCTCGGCCCCGCCGCCGCCGCTGCCGTCGTTCGGCTGTGGAGACACGGCACGATCAATGCGTCGCGTACACAACCTCCTTTGCGATGGGGAGGAGATTTGTTTTGCAGCGGAGGCTCGGGTCTGTCGAAGCTTTTGTTATTTAAGGTCTAATCAACATCTTGGTCATTAGCGACCACTATTGGTTTTAACGTTATGGGTAACTGAAGTAGGTGAAATGTTTTGGTGGTGTAGGGGATTGAAAGGACGGACACAAATACAACCATGCCCGAATCGGGACTTGAACTCGCGATCCTTAGGGCCGAGATCGCAATGGAACTACTCCCTCTCGGCCACTGAATCGTCTTGAAAAGTTGGTGGTTCGCAAAAAGAAGAAAGGGGAGACAAAGTTCGAAGAGTTGACTGTCTCGGTTAGATGAAGGGGTAGAGCTACTGAGATAACGGGATATTTGGGGTTCGATTTCCCACCGGGGAAGTGTATTCTTTGAACAGTCAAAACATTTGTAATGACAAGCTAAACATATGTGGAGTTGTAAAGGAAGTTAACTATTGCGAAACGGAAAATGCATTCCTTTAAATCGTCAAAATTACAAGTGTTAAGCTACGAAAAAAGTATAATAATAATAGTAATAGTAATAATAGTTATAGTAGTAGTAATAGTAATAATAATAATAATAATAATAGTAGTAATAGTAATAATAATAATAATAATAGTAGTAATAGTAATAATAATAATAATAGTAGTAATAGTAATAATAATGAATAATAATGAATAATAAGTTCGTTTCCATCGCTTGTGCGCGTTACCTGCGAGGTGGCCATGGCGGCGCTGAGAGCGGGGTTGAGCACGGCGAGGAAGTCGTCGGTGACGAGCAGGTTGTGCAAGACGTGCACGTCGAGCGTGGACGGCGCCGAGGCGCCCGCGCCCAGCGCCTTGAGCGAGCGCGTCATGCTCAGCGAGTGCACCAGCAGGCTCTCGCGCACGCGGAACAGCCGCTCCTGCGAACGCGCGCTTGCGTTGGCGCCTTTGCTTGCGTTGGCGCCTTTGCAAGGGAGGGAGGAGGGCGGCTCGCCGTAATTTGTTGTCCGCGCTGATAGTTTAAGGGGTTATGGCAACTTTCTTTTAATGTACCGTGCACAAAGTGGGTATTTCATGTATTATTTCTCGAAAATTACCCAAGCAGATCATTAAAAAGCGGTAGTGTTTTTAAAAAAATACATATTTTATGGAGTGGATGTCGGTCTAAACCAGTTCAGAAAATTGTATATTTTCATCGGTATATT